GGTTGAAAAGGACACATCCCTGGCGTACAGCCTTCCCAATTTTGAACCACGCAGTGTTACCCTGCTCTGTTCTGACAACTGCCTCTTGGTCCAAGTATCGGTTTCGCATTAGCACAATTAAATGTTCTGGGATTCCCATTCTTCTCAGAGTCAGCCACAGTTTGTTATGATCCACACAGTCAAATGCCTTTGCATAATCAATGAAATACAGATAGACATTCTTCTGGTATTCCTTGCTTTCAGCCAAGATCCATCTAACATCAGCAACAATATCCCTAGTACCACGACCCCTTCTAAACCCAGCCTGGACCTCCGGCAATTCTATCCTGATGTGCTGTTCTAATCGTTTTTGGATAATCTTCAGTAAAATCTTGCTTGCATGTGAAATCAATGATATTGTTCTGTAGTTTCCACACTCAGTTGGGTCGCCCTTCTTTGGGATGGGAACAAATATAGACCTCTTCCAGTCAGTTGGCCAAGTGGTTGTTCTCCAGATTTCTTGGCACAACTTGGTGAGCACATCCACGGCAGCATCTGTTAGCTGAAATATGTCAATTGGTATACCATCTATTCCGGGGGCCTTATTTTTTGCTATTTCCTTCAAAGCAGCTCAACTTCTTCCTTCACCACCATAGGCTCTTGCTCAATTGTTCTTTCATTAAATTCTTCTGTATCTGTGATACAGTTAGTCACAATAAAACTGCTACTATTTACAGTGTGTTTGAAACAGCTCTAGGAGGTAACTTACTACCATCTTACTGTCAGTAAAGAAACTCCAAAGACTCTGCCTATTTTATGTTAGATGAACTCAGAGGCAAAAAGAAAAATTTTACTAGAACCCCAATAAGAACTGCAGAAATCATGGTTAACGTTAATTCTCAACAGATATGGAAACGACGCAAGCTAGAGGAGAGGAATTCTTGCACTATTACTACACTGGAAATAACTAAACAACATATTGATATTTAAAATCAATATTTATTCCTTTAAAAAGTCAGTATTATTTTTAAAAAAAATTACTTTCTTAATAGCACAACTAGCAAAAGGCAATCCAAGAAAACTAGACCTACACCTCTCATAAACACAGAGGCAAAAAGACCAATGAAGAACCAATGCAGTTGAGCTATGATCCTGCCAAAGAATGCTGGCTATTCTATGGACTGACAGGAAAACCCCCAAATCCATCCTGGAAGAATTACAGCCAGTATGCTCTGTGGAAGCAAGAATGACAAGACTGACTTACTATGGGCAAGTTCAGCAAAAATGTGGGAAATCTTCAGGAGATAGAAAGCTCAGCAGGGGATCAATCAGGATAGGGATCGTCCACGAGTTACCTGCTAATCCAAAAGCTTTTGTTTCTGGTAGTTCAAATCCACGCTGCTCCACAGAACAAAGATGAGTAATCTCATCCTGTATAATTTACAACAGCAAAATGAAAACTTCTCTATTAACATCTTATCTGTCAAGAGGCCATGGCATTAGGAACATCACCATCAATGTGAGATGGATCTTCGCTGAAAGTACAGGAGAATGTCTGTGTTTCATCAACTATGCAAAGGCATTTGACTCTGTGGACCTCAACAAAAATTGTGGCTAGCTTTGAAAAGAATGGGAATTCCAGAACCCTTGACTGTGTCATATGAAATCTATACTTAGACCAGGAGGCAGTGGTCAGAACAGTGCAAGGAAACATCATATGATTCAAAATCAGTTAAGGAGTGCTTCAGGGATGTGTCCTGTCTCCCTATTATTTCAACCTATATGTGGAACAGATCACTGGGTAGGCTGGTCTTTATGAGGAGGAATGTGGCATCAGAATTGGAGAAAGACTCATCAACAACCTACATGGTGCAGATGACACAACTTTGCTTGCTGAAACTAGGGAAGACCTGAAGCATCTGCCACAGAAAGTGAAGGACTGCAATCTTCAATATGGATTGAAGCTGAACATCAAGAAGACAAAGATTCGCACCATTGGGCCAATTGGCAGCACCATGAGAGATGGATAAGAGGTTGAGATTGTAAACAATTTCAGCTTGCTCAGGTCCACAATCAATACTCTTGCAATCAGGAGCCAGGAAACCCAAAGACGAATTGGGTTAGGAAATTGTGCTGTCAGGGACCTCTCCAGAGTACTGAAGTGCAATGTTATCAGTCTAGAGAATAAGGTGTGCCTGATCTAATCCATGGTCTTTGCAATTACTTGGCATGCAGAGAGCTGAACAATGACTAAGGATGACAGAAGAACGGATTCCTTTAAGCTGTGGTGCTGGAGAAAAGTAGTGAACATACCATGGAAACCCAAGAGAACAAATTAAGTCTATCATGGAGAAAGTGAAGCTCTCTGGAGGCAAGGATTTTGAAGCTCCATCTCATATACTTTCGGCATGTTGCCAGGAGGCAACCATGCCTTGGAGAAGGACATCATGCTTGAAAGGATGGAGGGACGGCATAGGAAAGAAGACCCTGGATGAAATGGATTGACACAGTGACTGGGTTAATAGGGGCAGGTGTGTTGGAGACAGATTGGCTTAGGATAAGACAGGGTTCAGAGCTACTGTACATAGGGTCACTATGAGTCACAGGCAACTTGACGGCACCTAACAACATGTCATATTTGCCACAACTATGAAACCAACATTGGTACAGTATAACTAACTAAATGTCACACATAATTCAGATATCATGATTTTCCCCACTAATGTAATTTTTAAATTCTAAGAATCATTTAGCATAATGCATTACATCTGATTATTATGTCCACTTAGTCTAAGCTATGAGCTAGGAGACTATGAGCTATGAGCCAGAACAGACTAGAGGACATTGAACTTGATACAGTGATCAGTAAAACCAGGGAGACAACTCACCAAAATCACAGATGATAATAATCATATAGATAGGGTCAAAAGAGCATCATTCGCCCAAGAATAAAGCTCAGAAAGTAGGAAGTGGTAGGATAGAAAAATTAATGGAAATGAGAATTACAGGAAAGAAGTGAAAGAGTTTGATTACATTGTGGATATTATAATTAATGTTATAAAATTGTATATAAATGGTGAAATAGAAAATCAATGGACTTGGTAACTTTTCACTCAAATTACAATGAAAAAAATTTTTTTAAAAAAATTTCAATTCATGGTGAGCTCTGGTGGCCTAAGTGGCAAGAAGCTGCACCCAGAGGTGCACGGTTCGAATCCACCAGATCCTCTGCTAGAAAAGGAGGGACAATCTCCTCCTGTGCCAGTCAGATCTGATTTGACGGTACACACACACACAAAAATAATGTTGCTGTGTGCCGTCGAGTCGCTTGTGACTCATAGTAACCCTATGCACAACAGCTCTAAACTCTGCTCTACCCTGTGCCAATCTCACTGTCTCCGACACACTCATCCCAATTGCCCCAGTCACCAAATCAATTCACCTCCCAGAGTGTCTTCCGCTCCTGTGCCTGCCCTCCACCCTCCCAAGCATGATGTCCTTCTCCAAGGACCAGTCTCTCCTTACAGCATGATCAAAGTATGTCAGATGAAGCCTCAGAATCCTTGACCCCAAGGAGCAGCCCAGTTTAACCCTCTTCAGGATGAATCTGTTTGTTTTCTTAGCAGTCCATGGTACCCTCAACACTCTTCTCCAACACCAAAGCTCAAAAGCATCAATTCTCCTTCTATCCTCCCTGGTCAATAAAGTTTTTCAGTTCAAGCTTTATTTTATTATTATTGGCAAATCTCATCTAAAAACATGAAATTAAGTTTTACAAGTATTTACAAATATTACACCACAGCAAATTATGGATAGCCTTACAAAGTATAGACATTCCAGAATACTTAACTGTGCTCTCAAGGAACTTGTGTATGGATAGAACTAGACTTGAAATCAGTAAGAATATATATGAAGGTCTGAACTTTGTCAACAGGTCTAATAGACACAAAACCATTTTTACAAGCACTCAAAGAACACTCAACAGAACAAATATACTGAATGGAAAAAAATTAAAGAAATCAAATCAACATGAAGCTTCAATGAATGCTAATAGGACACTTAGTAGTTTCACAATATCCTCCCATTAAGGGATTTATCAATTATGAAGAAAAAAAAGATTAATTTTACAGTGAAGAAATCTGACAGATCACTTTAAAACAAGTGGTCAAAGTTAAATAAAACATCACCACCAACAAGTAGTAATATACTTTTGATATGATGCACTGAGGACATCATTACTCATATGGTTTTCCTTACAATCACAACTGACAATGAAAGACAATCCCAAACGGAAGAACATGATACTTAAAGAAATGTCCTATATTCTTAAAAAAGGCAAGGTCACAAAAGAAAGAATTCTTTCAGAGTAGGTGAGATTCAAGAGATATATGCCAATTAAATGCAATGTGTGACCATATATTAAATCCTGGGTTAAGAAAAAAAATATTTTCTTTGCTATAAAGAAAGGTAAGACTTGGCAAAATTCGCTTCAATAGACAATAAACATATCAATTTCTGATTTTTAAATAATTATACTTTTTATCTTTTTTTTTTTTTAGCAAAACAAATGAAAAAGATTTCATTAAGGTATTAAGACAAAGACATAGCTAGTGAAAGGTGGGCCAAGCAAAAGAGTGAAAGTATGAAATAAAGAGAGGAAAGGTGGAAAAGGACCCCCAAAAACACACGGGTAAAACCAGACCTTACAGCACGCTGTCAGTAGAAAAGGAGCCCAGGAGTTAAATAATTGTACAATGCTAGTATAACACATAACCTTAGTTTTAATGCACACACACTCTCAGGCATTTAGGAGAAAGGGAACAATGTGTCTGTAAATTAAGTAGTTCTGCATCCAAACACACTCACTCAAGAAAAAGCAAGCATTAAAATTTTACCAAAGGAAAAATTTGGGTGACTATATATAAGAATTATTTCTATTATCTGGTAATTTTTTCTTTTGAAATAGATTCTGACTTACAGAAAAATAAAGAGAATATATAAATAATATAAAAATAGCTTACAGTTCTGTATTTTCTTGGACACTAATGAGTGGTTTCTGGATGTTTTCACACTTTTCCTCCAAAGCATTGAATCTTTCTGTCCAAACATTGATTAAGTGACAAAGCTCCTATAAAGAAAGTAGAAGGGAGAAGGAAGAGACTAAAATTATGACATTTCTTTTTCTATTTATGACTAATGCCATTAAGTATTGCCCCTTAAGTAAGGATTATACAAATTTTGACAAGAATTTTAACTCCACCTACCCACCACAGAGAAAATCAATGGAAATGATACTAAAAGAATGTTACAGGTGTTTAAAAAGTAACTATAATATTTACAAACTTTATAATTGCTAATAATAATAAACTGCTTTTTCATAATGCTTTATATACTTAATACACTCACAGCACAATGCAGTCAAGTCATAGTGATGATCTTTCACTAACTGCAGATGCTGTAAACCTTTATGGAAGACTATAATGCACTACAGTATAAAGAGAACTTTCATGTTCATCAACAAACCAAAAAAAATGATGCATGCAACTCACTGCAATGTTAGTTACACTCACTTCATTGTGGTCCTCTTAAACTGAACTCTCAGTAGTTCCAAGGTATGGCTGTATACAGGTCTCATTCTACATAATGGCTTATTTCTACATAATTGTTTGTAAGCAATATATTAAAATATAATAGAGCACAATAATGATACATCTTAGATACAACCAAATACTCCTAGGACTAAAGTATTGGGCTTGAAGGCTAAGGACTATAGTCTCAGGAACATCCAGGCCAATTGACATAAAGAACACATAAGGATAAAGCTCTACATCCTAGTTTAGTATCATACAGAGTCTTAGAAGCTTGCAAGTGACCACCTAAGACACAACTATTGGTCTCTTCCTGTCTAGAGTAAAAGAAAAAAGAAAGCAAAGGGCTCAGATTCAAGAAAGTAATTAGCCCACAGCACTAATGGCTGCATGAACCATGGCCATCTCTGACCTCAGTGGTTAGCGTACATATCTACCTATAAGAATGAGAGGGTACCCTACTACCACTCTGAGTAGGAAGATAACAGAAGGTCCCAGTTAAGAGTGTGTGAAAAATGGAGGACATAATTTAAATTCCATTAAAAAAAAGATCAGATTTAGTGGTCTGACAGAGACTTCAGGAACCCTTCAAAAGTAAAGCCCTCAGACAAGGTTTGAACATTGAATTAAAGTCACTCCTAGAAGCTGCCTTTCAGTCAAATAAAAGTTTGCCCCATAAAATAACAAATAACACCCAAGAGGAATGTGCTCCTTAGAACAACCAAACATTACATCTGCCCAAAACTAAAGATGAGAGGGTAGTGAGAGGCAGTGGAATCAGATGACTACAAATAGGGAGCTCAAACTTTATCACAGGGTTCCACATGTAACCAGTTATTGAAAATATTCTCAATTATTTGATATTAATCACTATTAGAAGTAATAGACCTTTTTACATTGTCTGTATCATGGTAGCAGCAGTTAAGAAATAAAAAACCATGATACACTGGGGAAATCTACTGTCGAGAGCCTCTCTAAAGTGCTATAGAGAAAGGATATCCATATACAGATTAAGATACACCTGATCCAAGCCACAGTTATTTTCAATTGCTTACTAAGCAGCTGAAAGCAAGACAATGAATAAGAATGACAAAAGAACCGACGCCCCTGAATTCTGGTGTTAGTGGAAAGTACTAAATATCCCCTGAATTGTGGGGCTGGTGAAGAGTATGGAATATTCCATGGATGGGCAAAAGAACAAACTATTTGTCTCGGAGTAAGTGAAGCAGGGCTGTTCCTTAAAGGCAAAGATAGTAATACACGGTCTCACATGCTTTCAGTATGTTATCTTAAGACAATCCTAACAAATGGACACCATGCTAGAAAGGTGGAGGGTCCAAGGAAGAGATAAGTCCTTCAACGAGATGGACTGACACAAGGGTTCAGGGATGGGGAAGATCCTGAGGATGGCACAGGATAAAACAAAGGTTTTGATGTGCTGTTCGTATGAGCTGTAGTCAGCTTGACGGCACATAACACAACTCAGCTAAACAAGATACCTTAGAATGAGTTTGCTTTATCCTCTTTAGGTCTTCACTTAAAGTTTCACATCGCTTCTGTGATTCAGCTAAAGAAGAAACTGTACTTTCTTGTAGTTCATGTAGATTACTACACAAAGTGCTGAGGAAACCATCCATTTCCTTTTTCTGATCTTCTAGCTTTGAAGAGAAAAAAAAATCAGTTGTTTATTGGTGATTTTTTTTCTCTTTAAACAACTCAATTTCAAGGCATTAAAATAACATTTGTTGCATACCTTATGAGCCACTATCAATGAAGTATTGAACATATGCTTCATTTGACTCTTGATATTCAATATAGATACCAAAGTGGGCGATAAAACTGTTTCCAGTGAATTTAGAAGGTCAGTCTTAAGAACATCCTGATTATAAAAACAAACAAAGTTTTACTTTCATAATGCTGGCTCATTAAATACTATCTTAAATACCCAATAACTAAACACATTCATTTTTAAAATTCTATCTAGTTTCTCATATTCTTTATAACTTAGATATATCTATCACTAGAACTTATATTCAAAACAAATTACTTAAATCCTGCCTATAGGATATGACAATCTGAAACAAGGGGTGCATTGTGAGGTAGGCTAGGGGATAGGAAAGAAGGGGAGGGGGGGAAGTGCACCAATGAATTAAAAAAATATTTCTAGGAATTAAGAAAATGGTTACTTAGTCATAAATTCTCAATATAATGAAAAAATAGTAAGAGAAAAAGGGAAAATGACAGTCAAGTTGTAAGATTTCAGCATTTCAAACAAAAGCTACTTTTTAAAAACCCAACCCTATTGATACACTTTAACAAAATAAATTTCTAACAAGTTACTACTCATAAATGCAAAGCCTTCAATACAAATAAATAAATAAAAATACAAATAGCCTTCAATAGTAATCTTTGGGCAAGTGGTATTAATATGACTTGTATCCTGTTTTCCAAAAAAATATGTGTCAACTTGGCTAAACTATTCTTTTCTGTGTAATGCAATTCTCATATATGTTGTAAATCCTAACCTCTATGATGTAAATGAGCACGAAGGTGAGATTAGAGGCAGTTATGTAATGGTGTAGTAACTCCTCATGATGTGATCTGAGACGTGAAAGAGCCTTGATTTAATGAAAGGCGAGTTTTCCTGGAGTGTGGCCGATGATACTTTTCATCTTATAGATGAGAAAGGAGAAAGGAAGCAAGCAGGGAAAACGGACCTTGGTACCACTAGGACAGAAGAGCTGGGAGTAGAGCATTTCCCTGTGCTGGGAAACTGTGTGACAGAAGAAAAGACCAAGACATAATGGAGATCCCTGAGAAATGCTGGGCCTATTCCTACTGAAGAAAACAAGGACCTTCCTCCAGAACTGAAAACAAGAGAAGGCCTTCCACTGGAGCTGGTACTCTCAATGTAGACTTCTGACCTCCAAAAGTAGAAAATAATTTGTTTGTTAAAGCTATCTATGTATGGGTCAGTTCCAACTCTACGATACACAACAACTTCTTTAATTACTTTGGCACTGGTTTGGGTATATTAATTACAGTCAACTTCTAAACGGTGTGGCCCTATTGTTGAATAATTCAATAATTGTTGATGCCTTCTTTATCACTCATTAAATTTTTACCCATAATGTTGGGGGTAAAAAGGTGTATTTATAATTACATCTTACTTAAGATTACTGTTTTTCAAGATTTATAACCTATGTTTAATTTTTCTCAATCATATATTAATAACAAACATAATACAAAGCAGAAAAACATCCAGCAGCACTAGATAACTAAGATACTCATCTAAATGACAACCACAAAGCCTAATGTCAACATCCTGTATTAAAATTATATGTAAAACTGAGATTCTATCTAAAAACTGAAATTCTTTTAAAAGTGTAGGGTAAGGAAAAATCTTGATCTAAGTTCGTTTTACTAGGACTGGACAACAAGTTACATAAGAAATACAGTAATAAATATCTAAAAGAAAAGCCTATCAGTAGTCTTTCAGAACAAAATATTATCCACCTAGCAAGGTGGAAGGCATCTCTTATTTTGACTCCTGCAATGCTTTTTACTTGGTATTTAGAAGGACATAATTAAAGGCATCTCTTCAGTCAGTGAATGAATAAATATCCAAAGAATTAGTATTTATAAAGCATCTTTTAACTTTAACTGGGTGACTAAAGAAACATGTCAAATTGTGGCACATAAACACTAAATTTAGGTTCATGTAACACTCGTATTATTTACTTCAAGAATTACTACATAACTTAAAAAGGGAGACAGCGTCTACACAAAAAAAATCAAAATCAATGATATAGCCAAAAACTTCCTGGACAAACCATTCAACTATGAAACAGAAAAAGGGTATCACAACTTACAGATGACAAAGGTAATAATAATTAGATGAGTGACTTATACAGAATAGTGAAAAAAGAATCAAAAGGTTGTGGCCTCCAGTATTTGACCCCATAAAGTAGCCTAAAGCAATTTATTATATGTACTCCTAGAAGTCTACATAGTTTTTCTTACACATTTATCT